ATATTTTTTTTTTTTAATAAAAAATATATTTTTAATTATTTTGTTATTTTATTCTAAATAATTATTAAAATCATTTATTCTGCCCAAATAAATTTCTTGTTTTAAGGATGTTTAAATATATTAATACATTTATTAATTTTATTAATGTGTAAAACACAAAAATAGACAAAGATACTGATGGAGAAAATGGTATTTCTGTGATGTTACGCTGTGTTTTTCAGACGTCGTAGATGGTAACAGTGTTTTTTACTATAGTACTGTGGTGCTTTGTTTCTTTTTCCACGTCCAGAGCGATCGAGCTCGTTACTGGTAATCAGCTGGCTTTCCTTTAACCTCAAACAGAGAAGCAGGAAGGATTCTTCAGACAATATCAGCCGGGGGTTTTCCTCACATGTGCTGGAAAGCTGGAGTTGCGTCACTCGGGCTTTTGTTTGTTCAGCTCGTCAGGAAGGTGGTTATTATCGTTCTTCTGAGGAAAGAGAGAGTGAATGCTCCTGATAACAGTATTCATAGATCTGGCGTGTGGTTTTAGTGGACACTGGAGCAGCTTCTTCAGAGGTTTATAGCTGCTGCTGATTCAGAGCCGGTGATTTCGGGGTCTTGGGCTGTTATATCAGTCTACTGGAGATCTTCATGATGCTTCCAGATCTGTAGCTTTTGGTTTTTGTGTCTTTAAAGCACCATAAAACTTAAAAAGGTTTAACCATTAAATCGGTCCTGTTTCCACATTGGTGTTTTATCAGTCATAACTTAATATTTTTAATCTAAAACCATATTGTATCTGATCAGCAACTTCTAATTAATGAGGGAATGTCAAAAAATGTAAAGTTTTGAATGTTATATTACCGCATTTACCCCTTTCTATTATTTATTATTTTTTAATTAAACATTTAAATTATTTTTTCAATTTCGAAAATACTTTGAAAGAAACTCACTCACAGTCTCACACACACACACACACACACACACTCTCTCACACACACACACTCTCTCACACACACACACTCTCTCACACACACACACTCTCTCACACACACACACTCTCTCACACACACACACTCTCTCACACACACACACTCTCTCACACACACACACTCTCTCACACACACACACTCTCTCACACACACACACTCTCTCACACACACACACTCTCTCACACACACACACTCTCTCACACACACACACTCTCTCACACACACACACTCTCTCACACACACACACTCTCTCACACACACACACTCTCTCACACACACACACTCTCTCACACACACACACTCTCTCACACACACACACTCTCTCACACACACACACTCTCTCACACACACACACTCTCTCACACACACACACTCTCTCACACACACACACTCTCTCACACACACACACTCTCTCACACACACACACTCTCTCACACACACACACTCTCTCACACACACACACTCTCTCACACACACACACTCTCTCACACACACACACTCTCTCACACACACACACTCTCTCACACACACACACTCTCTCACACACACACACTCTCTCACACACACACACTCTCTCACACACACACACTCTCTCACACACACACACTCTCTCACACACACACACTCTCTCACACACACACACTCTCTCACACACACACACTCTCTCACACACACACACTCTCTCACACACACACACTCTCTCACACACACACACTCTCTCACACACACACACTCTCTCACACACACACACTCTCTCACACACACACACTCTCTCACACACACACACTCTCTCACACACACACACTCTCTCACACACACACACTCTCTCACACACACACACTCTCTCACACACACACACTCTCTCACACACACACACTCTCTCACACACACACACTCTCTCACACACACACACTCTCTCACACACACACACTCTCTCACACACACACACTCTCTCACACACACACACTCTCTCACACACACACACTCTCTCACACACACACACTCTCTCACACACACACACTCTCTCACACACACACACTCTCTCACACACACACACTCTCTCACACACACACACTCTCTCACACACACACACTCTCTCACACACACACACTCTCTCACACACACACACTCTCTCACACACACACACTCTCTCACACACACACACTCTCTCACACACACACACTCTCTCACACACACACACTCTCTCACACACACACACTCTCTCACACACACACACTCTCTCACACACACACACTCTCTCACACACACACACTCTCTCACACACACACACTCTCTCACACACACACACTCTCTCACACACACACACTCTCTCACACACACACACTCTCTCACACACACACACTCTCTCACACACACACACTCTCTCACACACACACACTCTCTCACACACACACACTCTCTCACACACACACACTCTCTCACACACACACACTCTCTCACACACACACACTCTCTCACA